TTAATTAGAATATGCCTTTTGGCAGAGCTTTTCTTGGTTTTTGCTCGAGTTCTCCTTTGTAAAGCAAAGTTTTACACGTTTAATCTCTTTCAGAGTTGCTCCTTTTTCAGAAATGTCCTTTGTTTTTTTTCCAAGAAAATATGTTCACAATACTTATAACCAGAAAACCCCACCACTTACAAGGGTCTACCATATGGCCCACATTCATTGAAATCTGGCGGAGGGCAAGACATTTTTAACAGGCCTTTATTGAGATGCAGTGACCAGATGGGCAGATTTTGTCTTAGAACAGAATATAGAATAACAGAGTGGGAAGGGACATTGAAGGTCTTCTAGTCCAACCCCTACTAAATAAAGCAGGAGACCCTATACTATTCCAGACAATGGCTGTCCAATCTCTTCTTTAAAATCTCCAGTAATGGACCACTCAGAATTTCTGAAGGCCAGCCGTTCCTACTGGTTGATCATTCTCAAGGTCAGGAAATTTCTCTTTAGTTCTAAGTTGGATCTCTCTTTGATAAGTTTCAGTCCATTACTTCTCATCCTACCCTCAGGTGCTTTGGTGACCCCTTCTTCTCTGTGGCAGTTCCTCAAATATTGGAAACCTGCTCTCATGTCTTGAGGTGGATAAGGATTTATCCAAGTGCTACGTCAGATAGGACTTTATGGATATTAACCAGAACTTTCAATTGGGCTTGGAAGCTTATTGGCGACCCTTGCAAAGATTTTTAGAAACACCCTCTTTTTTTATATAACAGAATTTCTATTTGTTATGTTTGAGATCAAACTTGGTCCCAGATGGTCATGCACAATCTAGCTAACAACCTTGCTAATCATCAAATTATCAAGAAGGATGTGTGAACTAGTATTCCTTCGGAGAGCTTGTTCTCTCTCTGACCTCTTTTCCTTGTCTCCCACACAAATAATTTGTAAAGTTAGCTTGAAAAGCTCTTTGATAGTGAGATACATCAAGGAAAGTCGTACAGACAAGAGGCTGTAATGAGTCTTTATTTAGTTTGAAATGTTAACCTGGGATTGTAGAAAAGCTTGAAGATTAAATGGATTCAGTATGTTAAGTCTTCATTTTTTTTCTTGTTTTTTATTTAAAATATTTTTAGAATAACATTTGCAGTTACATTTTTAGACTTCAAAATAATAAGAAAGATACATGATTAAAAAATGGTCAGAAATATAAGAGGGACAACTTCTAACATGGTTTAAACTATTCAGAGGAAATTATTTTAAAATATAAACAAATTGGAGTAGGATTATATTTAAAAATAAACTTTGAAAACTGGTGAACAATCTTAAATGAAGGGTAAATATATAGAAATAACATTTGATTTGCTTTGATATTTGCTAATTCTATGTATTAACAGAAATACAATTAGTATTCTAAGATTTGTGCTTTTCTGAGTAATGTATAACAGTTCACAGTTCAAACATTGATAAATAAGGAAATTTTTGATGTGCATAAAATAAAATGTATTACAGTAGGCAAACATTTAGAAAATAGATACAATAGAAAAACGGTACTAAAAGGCATATCTCAAAGGAATGGAATAAAAATAGTGCTTTGAAGGAGAACATATAGAACATGCAGGTAAATTTGAAATAGATTTTAAAAAGTAAAGACATAGAAATGGATTAAAATGAATTTAGTGCAGGGGAAGAAAGTAACTAAATAAAAATGGATGGATTTAGTTCATAAGAGGCCTCTTAACTTTTATCATTTCTGTCTGAAAAAATATAAAAAAAATTAAATTAACAAACCAGAGCTATTACAGTGACAATTCATTTATATAAATCCTGAAATTGTGTTTTCTAAATCCATCTCCTGTGAAAAATACATTTACTGATACTTTAACGCATGAAATGGAAATGTGCTTTTAGCTTCTATATCATTAATTGGCTTTGCTTGTTTGAGTAATATAGTATTAGCAACATATGAAGTGCAGTTTGTTTTGAAATTAGATGCTTCACTTGCAATTTAGTTTTAGTGATGTAATTATGGGTTAGACAAAAAAGAAAAATGGTTTGCAATATCCATTTCCAGCTTGAATTTCATTAAGAGTCTCCTTAAATGACAACATTTTAAACACCATTTGCTTTGCGGTATTTTTTTAAAAAATAAAATATATCTTTATTTGTTTTGGCTTTAAACAGATCTTGGATAAGTCCAATATTTTCTGTATTGCAGCTATAAAGCTAAAATGTCAGCTGTTAATGATATACTGTATGCTCGTTTTATGTGTAATTGTTCTCAGAGTGGTTTATATTCTGATTTGCTGTTTTTTCTTCTTTCTATAGAGCTGAGTTTTTATTGGTCTTTGGGGTAAAAAAAACATTTACCAAATTTGTAAGCCATTATTATTTATTCAGGTCTTCCGTGACATAGCTGCGGTAAGCTAGATACTGTTATATAGTATCTCTTGTGTTTGTGATTTATCAATAATATCTTACCTTTGGCAAATAATGAAGAAGGAGTTACAAGGGCAACTTGAAAAATCATCACGTGGTAAATAGTCATCTCTATCAAAATTGGGAAGCATAACTGTAGTATGCTTTGATGAAGTTCTGATTTTTTGTTTTATGTTTTACAAGATAATAAAGTGAATTGAAATAACCACAGGACCCATGCTTTTTTCATACAGAAACTCAAATGCAGACACGTTTACAAATTGGCTTCTATTCTGCATTTGGCAGTTCACCTGTGAATGAAAATTTTAAAGTAATGAAGGCTATGTGGATCATGCCAGTGGTGGTATTCAAATTTTTTTTTACTACCAGTTCTGTGGGCATGGCTTGGTGGGTGTGACAGGGGAAGGATAGTGTAAAATCCCCATTCCCTCCCCGTCCCACTAACCTGCTTTCCAGCTCCGTTCTCCTGTGCAGGGCAACAAAAGAAGATCCAGCCAATCAACTGGTACTCGGGAGGCAGAGAATACATGGGACCGGGGCTAGTCAGATAGCAGATAATCAGAGTTAGAAGGGACCTCATAGGTCATCTAGTCCAACCCCCCCCCCCCCCCAAGCAGGGAGACCCTACACTATTTCTGACAAATGGCAATCCAATCTCTCCTTGAAAGTCTCAAGTGGTGGCACTTCCACAACTTCTGAGGGCAACTTCTGTTCCATTGGTTGATTGTTCTCACTGTCAGAAAGTTTCTCCTTATTTCCAGATTGAATCTCTCCTTGTTCAGTTTCCATCCATTATTCCTTGTATGGCCTTTGGGTGTTTTAGAAAATAGCTTGACCCCCTTCCTCCTCTCTGTGGCAGCCCCTCAAATATTGGAAGACTGCTCTCCTGTCTCCCCTGGTCCTTCTCTTCACTAGACTAGCCATGCTCGGTTCCTGTAACCGTTCTTTATATGCCATAGTCAGAGATGGCATTTACCAGTTCTCCAAACTACTCAAAATTTCCACTACCAGTTCTCCAGAACCTGTCAGAACTGGCTGAATGCCACCTCTGGATCACGCCCATCATTTATACAGTCAGTATAAGATTATATGGACCCTGCTTGTTCCAGCTGGCCTTTGAGACACCAGAAGGGGGGGAACCACTGTTAATAAACATCCTTACCCATTACATCGCATGTAGTAACCAATGCCTGAGAACTGAGTCAATGTTTTAATGCACCATAAATACTTCAGGGCTATACTGTGGCATGGACACTGTCCATAGTGAGATAGTGGTGGCCAGGTGCTCATAAAGGCAAGGCATAATGTTGATACACAAAAGCAAGACCTCAATTACCATTTGCCATCAGTGCTCACTCTCTGCAGTTTAAATGCAGTTTTCTTTCACTACATTATAAGGCTAGCTTCTATCGTACCCGCCATTCCTTTAGGAAGATGAGCAAAAGTCACGCCTAATGCCACAAAAATCTAAATAAATAAAAATCCTATTATCTGTCTCTTCCAACTTATAATTATAACTGTGTTGCTTGTATCTTTACAATTTATATTGTTTTGTTTGTTCCCTAGTATGATTTGTTTGCGTAGTAGTAACCTATGACTATCACTAAGTGTTCTATCTTATGATTCTTGATGGTGTTTTTTTATGTACACTGAGGGCATTTGCACCAGAGGCAAATTCCTTGTGGGTACAATCACTCTTGGCCAATAAAGAATTCTATTCTATTCTATTCTATTCTATTCTATTCTATTCTATTCTATTCTATTCTATTCTATTCTATTCTCTTTCAGGATTGTACTGCTGAAGCATTCTTATAGTTGAAAGTAGTCTTGTACTGTTTCTCTAAAGAAGTATCTTGATCATTTAAATACTACAGGATGAACATTTTTTTATTCTATATTTATTATGTTTTATCAATGGGAATAAAATACAAAACAGGAAAAAACAGAAAAAACATACATCCAACAGTAACAACATACACAGAAAAAAAGGAAAAACAATTGTGTACAAGAAAAAGGAAAAAAAGAAAAAAAAATGACCTAAACATCTAACTTTTAAACATAAAAAAAATCCACCCTGGTTGGGTGCTGAAATTAAAAAAAAAACAAAACACCTGATAAATTTTCCTCCCTTTGCAAATAGTTACATATTTTCTCATCCTTATTTAACAACAAAATATATATTATATAAACAGATATTTTGGATTTTCTGTCTGATAATTGAACTTTCAACATCTAAATACATATAAAAAGTGAAGGAAAAAAATTGAAGCACTGCAGGATGAACATTTTTTATGAATTTTGTTTCGTTTTTGCAAGATAGGGTCTTCAACTGCAATAGACGGATGTGCTTTTATTGTCTTAATATTTCCATAGAGTTGCAGCTGGTTTGGACTTCCATCTTTTTGGGGGTGGCTTCTTAACTAAGTTTTTGTTTCCCAGAATGTTTGCAGATGAAATGATGATGAGCCCTTATGTGTGCTTGCCTTGTTGTCTGCAGATAAGAAGAAGGGCAGTAAATTTCAGCCCTTCAAAAAGTTGTTTGGAAGGAGAAAAAAAAGGGAGGCCACGCCAGATCGTGAGACCGCCAAGCTGAAGGCAAGCAGTTCTTTCGGAAATGTCTGTAACGGTGCCCTGTCTTCTGATGAAGAGACCAACAATGGCTTGAGGTAATGAAACTTTGGCATGCTGCCACTGATGAATCTAATCCAGTGGTGGCTAACCTTTTTGGGCTCCTGTGCCAAAAATTGTGTGCGCGCTTGTACGCTTGCGCTCGCGTGCCAGCACCCAGAAGGCAATGCGCCCCCGCCCCTACGCATGTGGGCGCAATCCCCACCCACCCACCCCGCCACTCCCTTACCTGCACTGCGCCTCACAGCTGATTTTCGGCCGGTTTGAGGTCTTTTTTGGCCTCCCAGAGCTTCAGGAAAGCTTCTGTAGGCTTTGCAGGCTGAAAACTAGGCCCGTTTCATCACTTCCGGTATTTCCGGAAAAACAGGAAGTGATGAAACGGGCCTAGTTTTCGGCCTGCAAAGCCTGCAGAAGTCTTCCTCAAACCTCTGGGAGGTTGAAAAAAACCTCAAACTGGCCAAAAATCAGCTGTGAAGCGTGCACATGCGAGGTAAGTTTGCCTGCAGCTCATGTGCCAGCACAAATGGCTCTGTGCGCCACAGGTTCGCCATTACGGATCTAATCCATTGCCTTCAGGCTAAGCCAGGAGAGATGAGCCTATGGAGATTCTCAGTCATCCAGGTCATGGTTGTCCCAGAGGTGCTTTCTCAAAAGGCGGCTGAACTTTGTTTCTTCTTGAAGATGTTTCACTTCTCATCCCAAGAATCTTCCAAGACCAGGAGAGGCGTAGAAGTTAAAATCCTGAAAATCTCATTCGAATGAAAACTAACCCTTCGTGTTTATTAAGTATAATATGGTGTGTTGTGGAGACATTTCTGATACGCATAGAATAATATTACTTCAAAACGCTTCTTTTGAAGGAACGGATTCTGTAATTGGTTCACCAAAAGGAAATAAATTCAAAATGATAGTTTCAGTATCTTCATCTGTCATGACTGTGCCATGCTCAGGACATAATAAAACCCAAAGGCAGACAGTAATGCCATAAGTACAGCATTGTCTTGGGCGAGACAACTGTGGGTTGAAGATAACTGGCCCTGTGGCCTTCCATCTGTTTTTCAAGGGAAAAGACCACAAAAAAAATGGAAGGACTGACCAGCCTACCCCTTTCTTCTTGCTGGAGGAAATTACGGTTGAGGCTCTTCACTGAAAGTTGTGCCTATTTCAAGGATACCTGTGTTTCCTGTTGATTAGCATTAGAGCAGTGGTCCCCAATCTTTTTTGTGCTGCGGCCCAGTACCAGCATCACAAAATCATCCGCGGCCCAGTACCAGCATCAGCATGCATGGCAAGGCGAGCTGAGTGACTGGCCAGCCGTCCCCCGCTTCTCCCCACCACCTTCAACTCCTCCTTTGTACCTGTGTCAATGGGCTTCACGACGGCTTTGGGACGGTCACTCGGCTCGCCTTGCCATGCGTGCTGAAAGAATCCTCGCGCCTTAGTTTTGTTTGAAGCTGCTCCCCCCGATGAAACTAAGGCGCGAGGATTCTTTCAGCACCTGAACGCCGCTTTCTACCCAGAAAAGCTCACCGGAAGCACTTTTTAATCAAAACAAGATGGTGGCACCCAGCAAACCGGCGGCCTGGTAGAAATTGTTCCACGGACCGGTGGTTGGGGACCCTGCATTAGAGGACATTCCCCTTCTCAATATGTATAATACAGCCATCATACATTATTTCAGACACTCAGCTGGTAGCCATCCAGCAATGGGATCCTACCTGTTCCACTACCGGGTTGGTGATCGCGTGCATGTGCAGTGGTGGGATTCAAATTTTTTTTTTTGCTACCGGTTCTGTGGGTGTGGCTTGGTAGGCGTGGCAGGGGAAGGATACTGTAAAATCTCCAGTCAGAGGTGGTATTTGCTGGTTCTCCGAACTACTCAAAATTCCTGCTACCGTTTCTCCAGAACTGGTCAGAACCGGCTGAATACCACCTCTGGTGTGCCTATGCACCTAATGCGCGCGCACCTAATGTGCGCATGCGCAGCTTTCCCCACACCAGCTGAGGTGTCAATCAGCTGAGAGGATAAAGAAGAGAAAAGCACAGGGGCGGGTGGGAGGGCCGAGCCTGCACATTTCTTTTCTTGTTTTCCTCCTCTCAGCTGATGTAGGAGGTTTTTTTAAAAAACTACTGGTTCAGGTGAACTGGTCTGAAGCGGTACCATACCACCATTGTAGTCATATAATGAAGAGTCAGATAATAAGAAAAAGACAGTAAGAAAAAGTAATAATAAGAGAAAGGTGTAGGTATAAAAGCATAATCAGAATAATGGAATAACAGAATTGGAAGGAAACCTTGGGAATCTTCTAGTCCAATCCCTGTTTAGATAGAAAAACCACTCAAAGACAAATGGTTATTCAACATCTTTTTAAAAAACTTTCAGTGTTGGAGCATTCACAACTTCTGAAGGCAAGTTGTTCCACTGATTCATTGTTCTAACTATCAGGAAATTTCTCCTTAGTTCTAGGTTGCTTCTCTCCTTGATTAGTTTCCATCCATTACTTCTTGACCTGCCTTCAGGTGCTTTGGAGAATAGTTTGACTCCCTCTTCTTTGGGGCAGCCCCTGAGGTATTGGAACAATCAGGTCACGGGTATCTGAGTCCTGTAATCTCAGAAAGGATATGCTCATGGGTTGATTCTCCTGATGTCAGTCAAATCTCCCGTTGGTAAGAAAATGCAATAATTACAGCATTACCTACTATATCTCTTAAAATAAATTTGTAGGTTGGAACTGTTTACGCAGGCCACTTAGTTACTGCAAGTTGTTGTAGTATAGAGACAGTTATTTAATAGAATATAGAAATACCGAAAAGGCTAAAAAAAAAAATCTGATTTACAAGACACAATTCTATGTTCAATTTCTAATAACGTTCTACTGTTAATTTGTCCTTGGATGTGATAATCGTTGTGGTCTAAGGAGCATCTCACATGTATCCTGGCAACAGTTGTCATAGCAGTACTATGCCATTTAAGGGCTATTGAGCACACAGTGGGAGCTTGCTCCAAGATATATATATATATATATATATTTGTTCAAATTTGCTTTTTCTTTTTTGGACGGTTCCATCTAAGATATGACCACTAATGACAACATATTCTTATTTTTGAACGGTAATCTTTAGCCAAGCATCCAGATCAAGTCATACGGACTCAAGGGAGTTTTGTAAGCAGGGCCACCCGTAACATTATTCATCTTTTACATTTTCTCATTGCTATTTGTGCATGCTTCAATATGGGAGTGGGAGGCAGATTCCTGCACTCTAAAAATAGGGGATAACAACTTGATCTTTTTGGAACGATCGTGTTCTTAGAATTTGGCAAAGCACAGGAGGACCACCGCACAGTTACATTGCCATATTTGGAATCCGGTTTCTAATGTCGATTCAATTCAGTTCAGAACAGAGCTGGGAAGTGCCTTGGAGGTTTTCTAGCACATCCCACTGCTCATGCAGGAGAACCTATACCAGTGGTGGCTAACCTTTTGGGGCTCCTGTGCCAAAATTTGTGTGCGCGCATGCCAGTACCCAGAAGGCAATGCGCCCCCCATGTCCCCTACACACGCGCGCACAATCCCCCACCTATCTACCCTCTGCTGCCCCCTTTCCTGTACTGTGCCTCACAGCTGATTTTCAGCCAGTTTGAGGCCTTTTTCAGCTTCCCAAAGGCTTGAGGAAGGCTTCTGCAGGCTTCTACAAGCTTTGTAGGCCAAAATCTAGCCCCGTTTTGTCATTTCCTGTTTTTCTGAAAAAAAAAAAAAAACCGGAAGTGACGAAACGGGGCTAGATTTCGGCCTACAAAGCCTGCAGAAGCCTTCCTCAAGCCTTTGGGAGGCTGAAAAAGGTCTCAAACCAGCCAAAAATCAGCTGTGAGGTGCACGCATGCCCAGTGAGGTAAGTTTGCCTGCAGCTCCTGTGCCGGCACAAATGGCTCTGCATGCCACCTGTGCCATAGGTTCACCGTCACGGACCTATACCATCTCAGACAAGTGGCTGTCCAGGCTCTTCTTAAAAACCTCTTGTGATGAGGTTCCACTGGTCCGTATCATGAATAGGTCCATATTATAAAGATGCTTATAAAAAGAAAGGGACAAAATGCATCTACATTCAATAGAACTACTCATAAAGTAAGCTGTAATCCTTCAGTGAATTTGGTATTACAAATCCAAAGAATGACGGCCACCAGGACTAGTGTGTATGTAGTTGCAGCAAACCAGGTGTCACCATTTTGTAAAGCAGTTTTTTCCAAACCTCAGCAAACTTTCTTACATATACATATTTCTTACATACAGCATAGAGATGGAAGGGACCAGTCCAATCCTTTGCTACAGCAAGAGACTCTATACCAGTGGTGGCTAACCTTTTGGGGCTCCTGTGCCAAAAATTGTGTGCGCTCTTGCACGCTCACACTCGCGGGCCAGCACCCAGAAGGCAATGCGCCCCCACGCCTACGCACAAACGCGCCTCCAGACCTTGGGGAAGGTGAAAAACATCCCTCCCGGAAGTTCCAGTAGGCCACGCCCACCATGACCTACCCAGCAACCAGGCAGCGAACCGGTTGCTGGGATTTTTGAATCCCATCCCTGCAAAGGTGTTCAGTCTTTTTCAAGTCAAGAGCCGTGTTTAGCTTTTAGGTCGCATGTGGGCAGCTGCGGTTGCAGGCATGCAAGTGACAGCAGCAAAGAAATGGGTTGGAACAAGGGAGAATTAAAATGGGACTGAATGTAATTCGTTTTAAATGCAATTTAAGTTGAATGAAATTCATGGCCTAGGGTCATCAGAATTGGTCCCCATGTAATACGACTTTCATAACACAAATTATAATTTGACAGCACCTTGTGTAGGAGCTCTGGAATTAGGTACAGATGCAATACCCATTATTCAAGCAGTGAAAGTAAAGGTATAATAAATCCAGTCCTCTGGAGGAAAAATGTATTATATATTCATTGAAAAATGGCCTGGTAGCAGAAAAAAAAAGCAAAAAAAAAAAAGCAGTAACCCATTGTGTTGGTAATTTATGGCATACCTTAAACCTTATATATCCGAATTGTCTTTCAGGTCTCCCAGTTATAGCATGGGAACACGGGCCTTTTCCCATGAGAGTATTTTTATGCCTGATGGGCGAGCAGACAGTGAAGAGTCGATTCAAGCAATGTCACAAGATAATCTCGTTGGCAAAGTCAAAACTCTTCAGGTAACAATGAGCAAACTTTGGGCTTCTTACCTCTGGTCACGAACGGGTGCTCGGGTGGTGACCGAACACAGCCATGGCGATTTGCTGTTCTACGCCAATTTCCCCTTCCCGCACCACACAATTTCTTTTTACACGCATGCGCTTCCGGGTGAGGACCAAATTGGGTGATGACCAAATTCTCGGAATGGATTACGGTCGTCCCCTGAGGTTCCACTGGACTTAGGGGGCAAGGGCTTGGCACCACAAGGAAACAACAGCCAAGAACTTAATAGACAGCCACCGACAGCCAAATCTACATCTAAAAAGCCATATACGACAGGCACCATATAAATACTGTACACAAAATAGCCCAAAGCACACACTCTGCTAGAGAGAAGTTTCCTGAGCATGGACTACAGAAGGAGTCCAAAAAGACAACATGTCTGGTCCCGGTAACCAACCCAGATTGGATCCTGCAGAATATATACTCTTCCTACGTAGTAGGAATATATACCCTACATAGACGTGGAATTTCTGAGGGAATATGAATGAGTGGAGGAAAGAGAACAGGAAACTTAAGAATAACACAGTAGTAAATCGTATAATCTCAATCTTCCACAGTGGTGCTGCTTGGCAGAGAGAAATGTAACTGAAGAATAAGTAGGCAGATTTAAGAAGTAAATAATGAAATAATGAAAACAACATGTCTCATGAAGTCTGTATGGTTTCTGGGTATGTGCTAGAGATATGGTGACCATCCTGTTCTGTGTTAGGCTTCCCCAAAAAGCACTAAGCCAACTCTGAGTCCTGTCAAAACCTCTTATTAAATGAATGTGAATTTAGTGCATTCACATTTAGCCAACGGCTTGGCAAATAGTCTTGCAAAGATATACTAATTAGCTCAGACCTTATCTATCTTGGAAAGCTGCCCAGTAAATAGTTCCACACTCAGTGCTGACAGGGAAGGGCTGGGTTACACAGACAAATCCTCACGAGACTGGAACGAATGAACGAACGAGCAAGTTCTTTCTTGAAAAAGCCTGCTCCCCCTTTGCTCCTCTTTTAATCCTGATGGGAGGGGCCATTCATTGTCCACCTGTGGCCTTAATCCCACGTCGATCCTGAGTTCTTAATTGTTCCTTTGGGCAGCTCTCTGCGCATGCGCAGGCTGGGAATCGATTCCAGAAGCTCCCCCGCCTCACTGCTGTCCAAGCCCGAAGGCAGCTGATGACTGCCAGCCTGCCCTGGCCCCATCTCTGCCTCTGACGCAGAGCCCCCTCCTGAGCCTTCCTCAGCCTCCAGGACTGGCCCAGGTTCCTCCCCAACCTCCTCACTGTCTAGCTGCCAGTGGGCACAAGACATTCCTTGGGAGAACAGAACAGACCAGAACAGGACAATAGTTTTGGAAGGGATCTTTGAAGTCTTTTAGTCCAGAGATTGAAAAGGAATTTCATCCTCAGAATGCTCTCCATTTTTCGGGTCCCTCCTGTAATTTCACGCTTCAGTACCTTAAGAAAAAATAAATATGACTTTTTGGGGGGAGCAAATCTGCCAGCCATATGGAAGTTTGCTCCGCCTGAGTAAACTCCTAATTTTCCCCCCGCTGACAGAAACTTTTCTTTCCGTTGCTGTCCAAAAGGTTTCTAAATGATGTTCTCCTTTTCAGTCAGAAGTTTCAGTCAGCAAAACATATGGCTGCTGTAGGACTAAGAGACGATCGAGGATTTAAATCCTCATTAGATCATGTTGGAATAATTAACCACTAAATGAAGCAAAGAAAAACAAGTTTCAATAATACGCTTGAAAGACGTAGTGCATGAAGGGCATGTGAATGGAAAACAGAAAGCATGTGTGTCAGTCTAGATTATTCAAAGTATTTATTTATACTTGTAATGACATTGGGGCAATTTATAGGTATTTGAATGGGAAGTTTTAATTTATTCATGATTTTAAAAAGTAATATGCCACCAGCTTTCTTAAGAGTTCTGCTCGGCTCTGGTAATTTATAAAAATGTCTCCCAAAAGACCCTAAACTGTCAGCATTTGAGAAGATAAATATTTAACAGAAGCCTATATAGATAGTCCTCAACTTACCACAGTTCATTTAATGACCGTTCAAAGTTACAGTGGCATTGAAAAAAATGACTTATCAATATTTTTCACATTTATGACCATTGCGGCATTCCCATAGTCACGTGATGATACTTCAGACCCTTGGCAACTGACTCATATTTATGACCGTTCCAGTGTCCCGGGATCATGAGATCTTTTGCGACATTCTGACAAGCAAAGACAACGAGGAAGCCAGATACACTTAACAACAGTGTTGCTAATTTAACAACTGCACTGATTCACTTAACAACTGTGTCAAGGAAAGTCATAAAATGGGCCAAACTCACTTAACAAATTACTCACTTAGCAACAGAAATGTTGGGCTCTATTGTGCTCGAAAGTCGAGAACTACCTATAACAATATTAGCTAACCTTTTTGGGGCTCCTGTGCCAAAAATTGCACGCACGCTCGTGTGCAAGTGCTCACGTGCCAGCACCTAGAAGGCAATGCATGTGGGGACCCCATGCCCCCTTACCTGCACTGTGCCTTCCAGCTGATTTTTGGCCTGTTTGAGGCATTTTTTGGCCTTCCAGATGCTTGAGGAAAGCCTCTGCAGCCTTTGTAGGCAGAAAAATGGGCCCATTTCATCATTTCTGGTATTTCTGGAAATACAGGAAGTGATGAAACAGGCCTTGCTCCTGCCCTGCCAAACTAATTACCACAGTTTGGCTTGATTGGACTTATAGTTACAGTTTTTGTTGACCATGTTTTGGGCTTGATTCTCTGCAGTTAAAGGCTGTTCCTGGGGGAGTTTTTCTCCAGCCAGAAGGTAACCTGGACATTGGGGGGCAAAGCTGGAGCTAATAAAGGGACTCTTGTTGATTATCTGATTGTGTTGCCTTTGTGCCACACCCTGGGTCATCACACCTGCTTTTTTCAAGGGTCAGTTCCACCCAGCCACACTTCCTTGTTTCTCTCCCTCATACTTCCTTCATATACCTGTTATTTTTGATTCTCAATTCATTTTTTTCTGAATGACCAATCACTTCAGTGTACATGTTTCACACTGGTCACTCCCTTGGGCCATCAATCTATGTTCATTCAGCATCCATACATTCTGTATCTTCTTTTTTCTACAATCACACTTTTCAAACAGCCATTCCCATTATGGTCAACTTCCTGTATTGTCTACCGTATTGTAGGCTTGCTGTATTTTCACAGATTAAAATGTTTCCATCCATTTTCCCATCTTAACATTTGACCCATTTACACAACATGCTTCCAGTAAATCCACCTCCTTATATTCCAGGACGGGCCTGTAAATAAAACTAATCCAATCTTATTTCAGCCTCCGATGTAAATCACAGACGTGCATTGACAAATGACTTGGTAGAATGTCTGACATTTGCTGTCTACATTCAGAAAATTAATGTTTACATCACAGATTACAAGCAAACCCAACCAGAAATGTCACTGCCTTTCATGGACATGTGAATAGACTCTTCTATTGCAGTAATATTTAGAGTGTGTCATTCTTATTAAAAGAATATCGCGTCATAAACAAATGGGGAAGCAGAAAGAAAAATATATTTTAAATATCTCACCTATCAGAGATATGAAAAGAAAACTGAAATTGTTTTTAATGAATATATTAAAACTAAAATGTTGAGGAAAGAAAGTAACCAGTAAGTAACTGATCTTGCACTTGAAATAGCCCTAAAGATTTCATTCATCACATGTTTATGCTGATATCCCTAATAGATAGCTATGGCAAATATTCTATTGTAGGGAAGTCTCAATAAAGCCAGATAAAAACATAGTGTATTCCATCTTGCTTGTTTATTTGCTTAGTGGCTCCATGCATTTCAAACTCTTGCAGATTACAATACGTTTCTTTAATACAGAGGAATGCATTGAACAGTTTCCTTTGAAAAGCCCATACTGTTCCCAACAATAAAATCATTCAGAAGCCTTTTTCGATATTCAGAGTGCTTGAGCAGGCAACACCATAATATGCATACAGTAGGAGGCCCGTGTTGATTTCTATCTGAAGGTTAACCTCCCCCAAAGATTTCAGTGGCATGAAAACACAACAATAGAGCTGAAGATGGCAGAGAAATGCCTGAACCTGAAGATTGCTCAAAATCAGCCTTTCCCAATCTGTCCCCTTGCAATGCTTGAAAACTAATGAAAGTGGTGATCCGGGATTTTTGGAAGGTCATATCTTTGCAAATTTAAAAATTCAAATTTGCCAAATACTTCCCAAAGAACTTTTAGGAAAGAACGAGGAACATTTCTCGCCCAAAAATATCATCTTCAGAAAAGAACCAGCAGAGTGATACACTACCTTTCTCTGACCAAGAGAAAAGGAGAAGAAAGACTGAGTGAGATTCTTTGATATGTCAATTTACTTATTTTATATGTTAAGACAGATAAATAAAAAACACCCCAACTTTAAAAAAAATCCATTCAAAAATTATTTTGTGATACTATGGCCTCCAACCTGCATAAGTACTTCATTAAGTTTTTCCTTAATCCTTCATCCTGGACTCTCTCAAAATGACATTTTGCAGTCTTGAAATATTTTAGTGTATTATTTTATTTCTTCTTAACCAATATAATATGCCAATTGTCACAGGTTTTGTACGTGGAGAAAAAGAAATGCAACAATAGTGGGGACAGATGTGGTTATCGGAGTGTATACCATTCCGCATGAAGCTTAAACACATCTAAGATAAACTCTGAAAATTCTCTCAACATTAAAGAGTTTGTGTAAGGTCCAAAATGGAGCTGATTAGAGTTTTTCTACAATTAGATGATGCTATTGCTGTCATCCTCAAAAACTTGATTGATCTCCAAAGCTCAGCAGAACTAGTTATTGCTTGGATTGAGGATTACTTGGTAATTTCAAGGCTATTGAAATAAGTGTAAAAATAAAATAAAATAAAATAAAGAGGGAAAGAAAATTTTGGGAGAAAAAAGCATGAAATCAATCAGGAATTCAACTCAACATGCATGCACATAGACACAACTCAATCTGCTTTGTTATCTGTCATACCATTTTTTGAGGGTTAAATCTAGCAGGAAGCATTTCGAAACCTTGGCGTAATAGAAGACATTGTTCCAATTTTGAATATTTTTTTCATTGTGTATCTTGCTTTCTTCTGCTTAGAAGAATACTTCTGTTCTGAAAAACCCATGAGGTTATTTACCCTTCCATTTGAGCATTCATTTCCTAAGTGTTCTCACACATCAAATGACAGACAGCTAGATGAGACCTTGCGGGAAATTTCCCTGTAATTTAGAAAATAAAAATAATTGGCAGTGTCTACTCTCCCAGCTGAGCTTGATTCAGCTGGTAATTTGAAGATAGAAATACTAAAGTGCCCACTTGCCTGCTCAATATATTCTAAGACAGTTTAATTCTTATAACATGCCCACCTGTTCATTCCTTTTAGTACCACTTACAAAAATAATGGATAGGGAAGGGATTCCTCTTAAGTACCAAAACTCATTGCTAGAAAAAAAAACCATAACTGAAGACATCTATGAACAGTAGCTGGCAATGCCTATTGCATAATATGAGATGAAGAAACATATACACTCACATATACACACATATACACTCACATATGCTCACATATACACTCACATTATTTGTAGACAAGATCCATTAGGCTCAATCTTACATTAAACACAGGAAAGCATGAAATGCAAGTCATATATCTGCCCATTTTCCCCTGATTATGGGAACATTGTCAATTAGTTCTTAGGAACAAATACAAAGGCAACACAGTCACATCAGTAAGAAGAGTCACTTTAATACCTCCAACTTTTCCCCCAGTGTCCAGGTTACCTTCGGCTGGAGAAAAAAATTCTCCCAAGAACAGCCTTTAACTGTAGAAAATTCAGTCCAAAACAAGGTACACACTAACTGTAACTTAAAATCCAAACAAACCAAACTGAAGTAATCAGCTTGACAGGGCAGGATAAGGAATTTCAGACTTGAAAGCACGGTCAAACTCACACAGTTGGGAAGACGCCAGGAACACAGTTAATCCACGACGATACAAGATAAATTCACAATTTGCTCCCAACTATGTGGGAGTCTTTATGTGCGCAGCTTTCCTTTTTAAACACTGTGTTCCCAGCTGCAGCTAATGAAGGGAATCAGGGCCCCTTCCTCCCCCTTAAGCCACACAACTCACATTGCTCCCTTCTCCATTCCTCCCTAGGATGAAGAGGGGGTGGGCCTGGATCTTCCTCCAAATTCCCTCTCCCTTGCTCTCCCTCTCCCCCGCTCTGCCCAGCTGCACTGTGCCCTTCCCCAGTTTCTTCCACAGCCAACAGAGCCACACTCCCACTTCCTGTCAGCTGCTCATCCTCCCCCTCTGAATCAGATTCCAACAGGGGCATGACAGAGAAAATGTAGGGACAATATCTATGAATAGGTCAAGTAGCAGAGAAAGAAGGAAAAGATATAGTACTCTCAGGGAAGGGTATAGGGGTAGAGCCACCTAAAGAGATGTCCTCTTACTCTTGAGATACTGAAAGTTAAATGCCAATGTATCAGCATCAATGTATCAGGTATGGGTACCACATTTAGGGAGGCTGGACAAAGAGTAAAAGGGTGGACATTGCTTGAAGAACATGGAATGAGAGTCCAATTCTGAAGGATCAGCTGAACTGCAATTTGTGATTCAAGCCTGGCTGCTTTTCTGTATCCCCAAACTCTAGCTCAGACACCCCCCAAAAAAAAAGAAAAGAAAAGGTACATGTCCCAAATTGCTAAAAATCATTAATCTCACCAGACTTTTGCACTGTCCTTTTTTGAAAGTTTGGGAAAGTTGAAACCTAACCTGATCAATCAAGATTTTCCCATTCTTGCGGGATCTTCTAATATTCTGGTATTTTTCAAATGAAAACTCAGGATAATTGTAATATTAATTAAAAGGTTATTTTAACTGACCGGGAGGAAGAGTTGCTGATCATTATGTGATATATTGTAACCAGAAAAATCCTTTAAAAACTAAACTAGCCTCTTGATCCTGGTAAGGCTGTATGGATGGTTGAGCCCCACATTATATTACTTTTTGTGGAAATAGCTTTCTTTTTCCTCCTAATATTTTAACATTGATATCTCATTGTGCCTAATAGAGATGCTTACATGTATAGGGGCGTGTGTCAAAAAGTCAATGGGATTGTATATCTCAAACTGTAGTTGCTTTTTACATATGTGAATGCAATAGCACTTAAGACTTGTATACCACTTCGCAGTGCTTTACAACCCTCTCTAAGTGATTTACAGAGTCATCCTATTGCCCTCAACAATCTGGATCCTCATTTTATTGACCTCGGAAAGATGGAAGGCTAAGTCAACCTTGAGCCGGTTCAGATTTGAACTGCTTGGCAGTCGGCAGAATTAGCCTGCAATACTGCATTCTAACCAGTGCAACACCATGGCTCAGTGCCATCTTGACATAGGTGCCACCTTGACATTCTTTCCCCCTGCATTTGATTGCTAAACCCGAGTTATCTAATGAAGAACGGCACTGTCCCTGCTCCCCTGTCTAATATACAATTGTATTTTGATTTTCAGCAACAGCTGGCCAAGAATATTAAATTTGGCCAACCCTCACAAATGACAGTATCTGTGAAAACACCTGGGGAAGCTAGTGGAAGTTTGGAAGCAGATGTGTTGCTGAATAACCCCATGGAGACTGTGATGCCACCAGATGTGGTCCTTCTAGAGAACCACCACAAAGTAAGTCTAATTGATGGTGAGGAGCCAATTACCAATCTTCAAAATGAACTAATGCATATGTTTATAGAAAATGTTCAATGGCATTAGCTGGATGATGAATTATGTATTGCAAAGAAATCCAACATTTGGGAGACTTTTGGACAGTGGTGGTCCTGGAGTTTTTAAGACCTTGGGTGAGAATATCATTCACAACCCCATATGTGATTGATTTTTATTTCCCATCAGATGGAGGTATCTGATTTTATTCTATGATTTCTCAACTCATGACATAGCCATGAAAGTACAGTAATGAAACTTCATCCATACAAGCAAATCATCAAAACTTACATTGCATTCTTTAGTTATATCTTTTTAATGAGACATTACCACATCTTCACAACGGTCTCTTTCTGATCGTCTGAAATGACACCGACATTAGAAATGACCTCATGTGTAGAACCTTGAACAGTTTGCTTGATTTGCACACTTGTAAAATCTCCCCTATTTACAGATGATGTGTACTATTAGCCCTGGGACAAAATGAACCCTCAGCTGATCAAACGAGGTGGATTGTTAACATTCAAAGCATTTCGTCTTTGAACTGGAAATGCCATTTAAACCCAGCGAATGCAAAGCAGCGGTCTATGCGTCCATTGGTAGAGTGGTGGGATTCAAATTTTTTTACTACCAGTTCTGTGGGTGTGGCTTGGTAGGTGTGGTGTGGCTTGGTGGGCATGGCAGGGGAAGGCTACTGCAAAATCCCTATTCCCTCCCCACCCCACTAACCTGCTTTCCAGCTCTGTTCTCCTGTGCAGGGCAACAAAAGAAGACCCAGCCAATCAGCTGGGACTCGGGAGGCGGAGAATAGATTGGGGGTGAGGCCAGTCAGAGGTGGGATTTGCTGGTTCTCCAAACTACTCAAAATTTCCACTACCAGTTCTCCAGAACCTGTCAGAACTGGCTGAATACCACCTCTGATTTTATATACTTGTAGTATAGCTTCCTGTTCCTTCATGTGTTGTGTGTCTCTGCAAATCCTGAAACTCAGTCCGAGAGGCTCTGGTTTTGTTTTGTTTTTACTATTGCAGTCAATTCTTTACAATTCAAATCTACATACCCACTAGCTATAGTAACATATTGTTTTTAACAGGGCAGTGTTTTGTGTTCAAAGACCAAAGGAACGGCTCCAGAACACACATGGAGTCAAAAACGTAAAACTATGCCTGCAATTCCAGAAGGCAAATCCACTTGTTTCTAGGACCTACTCAGTCTGTCCTATTGCTTTGCCAAGGGTTGGAGAAATTGCACCGATCGATCGCTTATGTGGAAAGGAAGGATTGTTGTACCTAATTCCAGGAAAACATTCTGGAGCACAACAAAGATTCTAATGAACCCTATCAATAACTGGAACAAAGACAAGGCGTATCAGGGATTGACAATTCTTTGTTACTGAGGTCCATAATTTCATCTTTAAAGCATTTTCCTGTTTTTCAGGATCACAAAGAGTATTGCTAGTGACACCTATAGGCAAAAATATGTGCCTGGTTTTGTCCGTGGAGATTCTCAGTCATCCAGGCCATGGTTGTCCCAACAGTGCGTTTTCAAGAGGCAACTGGACTTTCTGGTTTTGCTTTGAAGACCTTTCGCTTCTCATCCAAGAAGCTGCTTCAGCTCTGAAGCTTGTCCAGCGAAACATCTTCAAAGAAAAGCCATAAAGTCCAGTTGCCTCTTGGAAAAGCACCTTTGGGGGGGCCTTCTTTTGCTTTGATGGGATGGTTACAGAAGCCTTCCAGGGCCACAAAAATAGGGCTCTACACACCGTGTGTGGCGTATGGTTTGCATAACCCATTCTGTGGAAATATTTACAGACCCCTCACATCCCGGACATAAACTGTTTCAACTCCTACCCTCAAAATGATGCTATAGAGCACTGCACACCAGAACAACTGGACACAAGGACAGGTTTTTTCCCCGAACGCCATCACTCTGCTAAACAAATAGTTCCTTCAACATTGTCCAACTATTTACAAAGTCTGTAACTATTAATCTTCTCGTCACTCCTTATCACCCATCCCCTTCCACTTGTGACTGTATGACTGTAACTTTGTCTCCTTACGATTTATATTGACTGTTTCCTAGTATGATTTGATTTATTATTGTACCCTATGACTATTATTAAGTGTTGTACCTTATGATTCTCGACTCTTGACGAATGTATCTTTTCTTTTATGTACACTGAGAGCATTTGCACCAAAACAAATTCCTTGTGTGTCCAATCACACTTGGCCCAAAAAAAAAATTCTATTCTATTCCTCAGTTGAATGATTGCCCAAGGATAACTGCACTAAAACCTGACATTTCTTGGGTTTTGATGAAGATCAAATACTTCCTACTGGGGGAAACTGTTTAAAAGGTCTTTTAGGAATGGTCTTTTCCAGACAGCATGGGAGTTTTGACTAGGACTGTTTATACATTGGTTAACAAGACCCAAAACAGAAATAAGCTTTTAATAAAGCAGACAGAAAGTGAGTACATGTTTTGCCTCTAGCTTGAGTTTTTAGTAGGACTGGACACTTTTTTAAAACAAGAAAAGAAAAATGAGAACAGTTGGATGATAACACACACTTAGTTGATGCACTCCCTTAAATATGTAGCACCTGCGTTTATAAGTAACCTTCTTTAGCCTCTTACTAAATTCATAGGTTTTTTTTTTCATAAGCCTTACTTTTTACTGTTGTTTTTTCATAGTGGTTTGAAAGGTAAATGGTGGAAAAATAGAAAAACATCCATCCTTTTAAGCTTGCAATCCCAGTTTCCTCTTTCGTGATTTGAAATAGCTGGAAAACAAGGGAATAAATGTGTTTATTCAGTCAATTTGTCCAGCAAATTGAAATGGAATTAGATTAGGTACTACAACAAAACATTGTAATGGAATCTTATTATGACTGTGATATAAGGGCATTTGGTGCTTCTAGGGTGAGTCTACAATATATCTGAAGTTGTAATAGTTTTGTATGATATTCTTTTTCATTTTTTCTAGTCAGCTGTGATGCCAGATTCCTTAAGTCCCGCAAATCTGGGTGAAACAAGTCATGACAGAGATGAGAAGGTAATAGAAATAAGACATTAATGGCACTTATTTCTGAAGGGCCACTTCTAAAATTGCAACACATCACACCAAAATATCTAATCACATTTCTTAATGGGCAACTCAGCCTGAGGTAAATCTCTACTTTGAACCTGGAATTGTAGGCCACTAAAATAAAACTATGGTATGGCTTTACATTTTTATGACATATATCGCTTGTGCCTGTTGACCTTCTGTTGGTTCCAGTCCGCACCACCTAGCATTTTAGTTTTTCAGTTAGTTTTGAGTTATTTTAACCATCCTCCCATCCAGTCCTCCAAAAGGAAAAGTTGACATGCCACAGAGCAAAGTGCTAGCATTCAGCATCTTTATTTCTAGGATGAGCTCAGCCTTATAAAAAAAATACGATTGGCTGCCTATACAGCCCATATTTTATTTGAAAGTATAGATACCTGTTTAGCTATAAAGAGATAAAAAGAACCTCAACTCTACAAACTGTTCTGGGGAAGTAGATTTTAAAAGTAAATTTTCTGGTCTGATCATATTCACAACGGCTGCCATGTTGTGACTAGATGAATTTACCCATAGCATTTCTTTGGTGAGGCATATCAGACATCAATCAGAATAGAGGTCTTCTAGTCCAGCCCTTCCTGCTGAAGCAGGAGTCCCTATATCATTTCAGACAGGTGGCTGTCCAGTCTTTTCTTAAAAACCTCCAGTGATGAAGCACCGACAACATCTGAAGGCAACTTCTGTTCCACTGGTTAATTGTTCTCCCTTATTATTATAGAATTATTCTCAAAATTCCAAATGTCCCATGGATCAGAATGATTTGAGGATGACAGTATCATTGCAAGCTGCAATAGAAAGGATAACTGGGAGTTTAGCCTCAGCTCCTGTTCCATAGCTACACCAAGACATTATCTTTCCTTGGCTTCCATGCTACTGCAACAGAGCAGATAATGTCTATATATTTCCTGGGTTACTGAGATGTAAACTTTTGTTCAGGTTGTAGTCCAGAATTTTTTGGGGAAAGCTACCTTGATAATATACTATGTCTGCATAGAGATTCTTCCAGAGGTGGTATTCAGCAGGTTCTGACCAGTTCTGGAGAACCGGTAGTGGAAATTTTGAGTAGTTCAGAGAACCACAAATTCTACCTCTGGCTGACCCCACCCTGCTCTATTCTCTGCCTCCCGAGTCCCAGTTGATTGTCTGGGTCTTCTTCTGCTACCCTGCACAGGAAAAGGGAGCTGGAAAGCAGGTTCATGAGGTGGGGAAGGAATGGGATTTTGCAGTAACCTTCTCCCAGGAGTGGGGAGGGAATGGGGATTTTGCAGTATTCTTCCCCTGCCACGCCCACCAAGCCTCGCCTACAGAACCAGTAGTAAAAAAAATTTAATTCCACCACTGGATTCTCCTTAGCTTAGTTCAGATCTTCACTAGTAAGGCATGGGAGCATCATTCCTAGGGAAAGCTACCATTCTGAAGAGACTTTTGTTAAACCAGGGGAATGTTTAAGGGGTGCACGTTGTCATACATTTGGTGTTCTGAAAGCCAAGGAAATACTTGCCTGGTACCAGCTCTTACGTGTGCAGTGGTAGGGGTAGGCGTTTATGATGGGAACGGTCTCCAATCGACTGCCCTGTGTTGTTCTTTCGGTGGGTGGAAGATCACTGAAGAAGGTGTTTAGAAGAAGTGAACTCATGCTGACAAAGCGATCCGTTTGGATCCATCTTGAAAGTTTGTTCCACTAAAATGAGTTTTGTGCCAAAGCATTTTTAGTTGCAATGAGTCTTGAACTAGAGAGCTCAGAAAAAAAAATCATATTGTGTGTGCTGAGGGGGAGGGGGAAGATGCCCTCTATCAAATCATGGTGTCTCTGGAGATTTTCGGTCATCCAGGTCATGGTTTTTCCAAAGATGCTTTTTCAAAAGGCAACTGGTCTTTCTTTCTTTTCTTTGAAGATGTTTCACTTCTCATCCAAGAAGCTTCTTTAGTTCTGAGTCAGAAATTCCCCACTATCCTGTCAGAATTTCTGACTGAATGATGGAAGGATTTATATTCCTTGCAGTCATCTGGTCATTAGCACTCTCTCTGAGAGTCGTTGAAGCCACCTGGGGACACAAGGGAGCTATAAAAACCAAGAAAGAAATGTATAAAAGAAACTCCCGAACCCTGAGTTCATTTCTAGAGTGGATAGTGGATTTGGAATTTGTTCGGCTTTAAATATAGGATCTCGTTTCTTTACCACCCTTTTTCCTTTTGTTCTTGGGATTTCTCTAGGTGACGCCTGTCAAAGTGTCATCTCGGACCAAAAGACACCATTCCCCTTCTGGAACCATTGAAACTGTCAACCTTGATGCCATCCCTTTCGCCACTGCTTGTCTGGACAACAGTGCAGCAAAGCACAAACTCTCAGTCAGGCCAAAGAATCAGAGAGTTTCCAAAAAGCACAGATTGTCAAAGGTATTGCACTGATTTCTTTTTTTAAAAATTGTTTTTATTACAGTTTTCAAAAATACAAATCTCACTAATATTTGTAAAATGTTTGGCATGGACAAATACATATATCCTATATACTTTATTATATACATACATATTGTGATGGCCCAGAGTGTAACACAAACGTAACAAAATCCAAAACATAAATTAATGTCCTTTAATGCCTCCAACTTGGCCACACTGTTCAATAATTCTCAGTTGGAGATAAAACGTATTCAAAAATAGTCTTCAAAAAAAGCAATACTGTCCGAACTTAATGAGCAGATAGAGGTGAAATAAAAAAAACTAAAACAAACTACAATGACGAAATTTCCACAATGGACCAGGATAAGTAATTACCAAATTCAAGGAGATAACAAGGCAAATCTATTGGAAGGATGCCAACCAAGATAACTTCAGCCCAAAATAAAACAAGCTTTGCTTCTGGCAACGCTGTGTTGTAATCGTCTCTCTTATATACTAGTCTCCCCAGCTGCAACCAATGAGGAGGATCATGGCCGCTTCCTCTCTCGCAAGCCAAGTTGTTTCCTTCTCTGTTCCTCCCTGTGTGCCCTAGGATGTAGAGGGGATGGGCCTGGTTCTTCTCTGACTGCCCAGCCGGCCTCTGCCCTTCCACAGCCTCCTCCACAACCTCTGGAGCCACACCTCCACTCCCTGTCAGTTGTTCCTCCTTTCCCTCAGAGTCCGACTCTTACCAAGGGCATGATACATATATTGATACTTTATTAAGGATTATTTACCATAATCCTTCTTCCTAGTCTTTATATCTGTTGTTTAACCACTCATACCATTCATCCCATATTGCATAATATTCAGAGTCCTCCTTGTCTTTCATTTCCAATGTGAGCTTATCCATTTTGGCACATTCCGGTACTTTTTGTATGACTAAATCTTCTGAGGGGATATTAGCTCCTTTCCATAATTGTGCAAAAGCTATTCTGGCTGCTGTCAAAATATGCAATATAATATACTTAATCTTGTTAGTATATTGGCCTGTAATTATTCCTAGTAAAAAGAGTTCGGATTTGAGTCCAATTTGGTTTTTAGTAATCTCTTGCAGCCAGTTTTTTTTATTTTGACCCAATATTTCCTGGTCTCGGGGCATAACCACCACATGTGATAGAAGGGACCATCCTTTTGTCCACATTTCCAACATTTTGAACTTGTGTTGGGATATATCTTCGCCAATCTCGCTGGCGCCAAGTGCCAACAATAGAACTGTATTGCACTGATTTCTATGGAAGCCTGGATTTTAGCTGCTGATTGTAAGACTCGGACCTCTTCTAAGAACATTAGAGCAACCCTTGAATCTTTCGGTATTACACTTCAGCTGATATTCATGGGTGTGAATCAACCTCACACCATTTGGGAGTTTCGCTGCCCTACTATATGTGATGATCATTTATCAACTGCAGGGATTGTCTGTGGCAAGAAAGATTGTAAAATGGGGCAAAACTCACTTAACAAATGCTTCACTGAAAAACCAAAATGTTGGGCTTCATTATGGTTGTAAGTTAAGGAGTACCAGTATAGTAGAGTGAGTGTAGCGCAGTATGGTATGCATTTATACCTTCTTTCTTTTTACAGTCTTCATGATCTTACTAGCAGATACTGGAAGATGCTCTGCTTATGTATTTTTCCTCATTTACCTACATGCATCTTAGGTTCCTATTCTCTTATTTAAAGGGGAAAAAAACAACTCTTTCTTATGTCGTGGAATACAAGATCTTGCCAATTATGTATCCTGCAACTTTCTTAGACGAATAGGGAATTTCTGAATGGATACATTTTCTAAATAGTAGAATGCTAATTGTCCCCCCACTCCCAAGTAGGTGCTTCCATACATAGCAGCTCAATGCTATGCATGGGTGTTTACAATATAGATGAGCCACAGTGGCACAATGGTTAGAGTGCGGTACTGCAGGCTACTTCTGCTGAATGCTGCCTGCCTGCAATTTGGCAGTTCGAATCTAACTCAGCCTTCCATCCTTCCAAGGTCAGTAAAATGAGGACCCAGATTGTTGTGGGGGGCAAGAGGCTGACTCTGTAAACCACTTAGAGAGGGCTATAAAGCAGTATATACATCTAAGTGCTATTGCTATATATCTATATATCTTATCCTATCCTATCCAAATTCCTATTCCTAATCTACTCTTCTCTCTCTCTTCCTCCCTCCCTCCTTCTCTCTCTCTTATACACATACACACATATGCACAAATACACACACCAGAATTTTAGCAAAGTACTCCGTCTCAAAAATGAACTTGCCACTTGGAAATGCTTGAAACTAGATGGAGTCAACATGAGACAAATCGCCAGGCCCTAATCCTACTTTCATGCATGTTGAAATGCTATCTAGAGTACGTTAATGTTGTTGCAATATATGGCTAAGATTTATAAAAACAAATACGGATAGTCCTCGGCTTATGACCACCACTGAGCCCAAAATTGAGCCTAAGTAAGGCAACTGCTAAGTGAATTTTGCCCCATTTTACAAACTTTCTTGCCACACTTGTTAAGTGAACCAGTGCAATCAGTTGCTAAGTGAGTAGCATGGTTATTAAAGCTTCCGTATTGAGTTTGTTTGTCAGAAGGTCACAAAAGGTGATCCCATAGACAGTGCAGCTGTCCTAGATATAAACCAATTACCAAGCATCCAAATGTTGATCACGTGGCCATGGGGATGTTGCAACAGTTGTAAGGGTGAAAAACAGTCATAAATTTCTTTTTTGTTAGAGCTTTGGTAACTTCGGAGGGTCACTAAATGAACTGTTGTAAATTGAGGACTACTGTAATTCATCACAAATCTTAAGATTTGTATAAAATAGGAATTGGATAATAATAGCCTTCTACTGCATTAAGTAAACCCTGTTTTTATTTCTCAATTCTAGGAGGTACAGAGTTTAATAGAAGCTGACTTTGGACAAGACTTCCTAGAATTGCAGGGCCCTGAAGAGAAAATGACAAAAGATGATGGCTACTATAGACCAGACAAGTTAACCCAGCATGGAGAAGCCCAGGAACAGAAACCCGAAGGAAAACGAAAACAGGACTATTGGATAAATCTTGAGGCAGGGAAGAAGGAACAAATGGCTGAAACAAAATTCAAAAGCCCTGTGGACCACGAAAGACTTCATGAATTTGAGGGAAGCCAAGGAGAACAAAGAGGGAAGAAACTGAAACTTCAGGAAGAACAACTTTATCAAATAGAGGAGAAAAAAGATCACGATTATCAGGAAAAAGGGCTAAAAGAACAAGAAAAACAGGGAAGGACTGGAGAACTGCCTGAAAAATTGCAGGCACCAATCCCCCAAAAATCTCAGGACCTTGAGGAACAAAAACAAAGGGTTGAAGAACAGGCACAACATGAACTAGAGGCACAAAGGCAGCAGAAAGAGCACAAACCACGTGAAATGGACACGCAATGGCAAAAGGAGAAAAAGAAGAAACAACAAGACCTAGAGACACAAAGGCAGCAGGTAGAAGCAAAAAGACAGGGTGAACTGGAGCTCCAAAGACAACAGCAGGAAGAACAAAAGAGACAACGTGAAATGGAACTACAGAGACAGAAGGAGGAAGAACAAAAGAGACAATGTGAAGTGCAATTCCAAAGGCAGCAACAGGAAGAAGCAAAGAGACAACTTGAACTGGAGATTCAAAGGCAGCGGGAGACAGAACAAAAGAGACAACATGAACTAGAACTACAGAGACAGCTGGAAGAACAAACGAGACAACATGAACTAGAACTACAGAGACAGCGGGAGGAGGAACAAAAGAGACAACATGAACTAGAACTACA